CTGCATCGGAGCCCAAAAGAAATTTCCAATATACAAAGCCAGGGCAAAGAATCCTCCGACTTTTCTAATCTCTCCCTACCTTGTCTATACCCCAGCTTCCTAAACTCTGAGTTGCAACTCCGTATGGGGTCACATAACTGAACATGGGAGGTTGCAAACAAAATTGGCAACAGTAAAAAGGTTTGGAAGTGCAGCCATCCAAAACTAATTCAGAATCAAATGTGTGATGAATCTGAGGGGTTTCTGGCAGATTGAGGACATGTGCTCCTCCATGCTTGCAACTGCAGCCTTGGTTCCGAGCACACAACATGCATACTTTGGGCTGAGCATGTTGTCACACCACACAATACCAACGAATGAGGCTTGAAACACAGGTCAAATTTGAGAGTATTGTCTGTGATGAACTACAGTGCTTTTACCGCACAAAGTTCACTGATCTCACAGAAACGTAATGGTACACTCAGGAAAAACAGAGATCTTCCTAATACTGTCATTCCTCGGCATCTGTTCCAGATTTGTAGCTCTATGTATATTTATTGTATTAAAAATATCTGATCTTTAAAATGGTTGAATTGTTATGTTGATGAATTTTGTCATAGGGTTAGGATGGAATTTCCAACAACTTTTGAAATAGTCCTGACACATTTCTTCCATTTTGTACTATATTTTGATTTGATACAGTAATCTCAATGTTGATAGTTTTAGTATCAAAATATCATTCAGTTCTGAAAAATATTGAGGATGCTCTCTGCCCTGCAGTATCAAATAGACAACAAAGATTTAATTATGTAAAAATAAAAAACAAATCCAAGCATGGTGGTGCACAGTTTTAATCCCAGCACTTGGGAGACAGAGGCAGGGGGACTTCTGTGAATTTGAGGCCAGTCTGGTCTACAGTGTGAGTTCTAGACCAGCCAGGACTACATAGTAAAGCCCTGCCTGCAAAACAAACACAAAAACCCACAAACCACAGCACTTCTATCTCATTAGTATACAAGTTTGACTTCACCTTTAATAAATGGCAAAATTGATGGAAATTATCTTAAAATAACTATGATTTATTACCAATGTTTTGTTTGTATGCCTATTTTATAGATCATATACTTTGGATCATGTGACAATTTCTTGGGAGAAAGGGAGTTGTGGGTAGAAGTAGTTTAAGATCCCCTGGTCCCCTTGAGCAAACCCAAAGCTTCCCTTAGCCTCTCCTCTGGGATCCTTCTGCGTTTGTGTGTTATGTATCTCGAGGCAATCACTCACTATACAGCTTACACATCTGTCACACAATTCCAGCCCACCTCTCAACGACACTGAGCAGTTATTAAACGCCTCTGAAACTCACAGCATTTTGAATGAATGGCAGGTCAAACAAATGCTAACCAAATTCGGTGAGATTAAAAAACAAAAAACCCTCCTAGTTTTCTGCCTATTACACACTGACTCCATTTGGAAGCTTAAAGTCCAAGTTAATGTCTTCAGCTGGGAAAATCTCAATGGAAAGGTTGGTTCCCAAACCAAGCTCCCGGCATGACCTTCACTGGCGACTAAGCCCACCACACTAAGGACTTCCTGTCCAGTGCAGGCTTTAGGACGTCTCTGGTTTGGTTTGCACCTTAAACAGACTGCTTGCTCCAAATTCTGATGGTTAATTTGGAGAGTATCCGACTGCAATCCCTCCCCACCACAACCACTTTTTTTTTAATGTTTCAATTGAAGACACAAAGTTTGATCTCTTCCATGTTGAGATCTGAGAACAATGGCAGCTTTCTGAGGCAATGTGACTTCAAAAGGCCGCTGAGGGACCGCTCAGAAAATGCTTGCTCGTAATGACTGGAGCAATGTGCAGGCATCCTCCTGAGGCTCCATGCCCATTAGCACAGGAAAATCCATTCCTTCCCAGGTCTTTTACTAACCAGGCAGATTTCGAGCAACTGGAAGGTTGAGCCTTGAGGAGACAATGCCAGACCCAGCTGGGAAACCTCGAGGGCTATAAAAACCAATGAGATAAGTAAGTCCTGAGATGACCCAAACAGTATATGGGTTTTTCTTTTTAATTTGAAAGACAGGAAGAAAAAGAACATAAAGTCGGGTGGGTGTGGAGGTGGGGGAATCACAGGACTGTGGGAGTAGGAAAAATATAACCAATATATATTGTATGAATTTTTTCAAAAAAGGAAAGATAAAACTAGGGAGGGGTGACTGTCTGGTGCGTTTATGCTGTAGGTAGCTGCAAGTAAGAGCTCTCAGAAAGTATCAGGTCAGGCCTGAAACAGCCACACCCCAGAGCTGAGAAGACAAACCCAGAGCAGGACCTCCCCTCTGCGCCAGTGCGGGTGTGGGTTCATCTCCCCGCCTTTGCTGGCCCTCAGGTCTCACCCTGATGACTCCTGCTGCCCGCCCGCCTGCGAAGAAACCCGCAGCAAACTTCCCAGTCTCGGAACCCTGCTGCTCCGGGAGTAGTTTGGATTACCGCTCAGCCCCGCCAGCCGCCCGCCTGGAGAGACTGGCATTCAAGCTCCCCGCCCCCCGCCGCGGTGAAAGTTTGCTCCCACTTCGCCGCCCTCTCATCCCCACCTCCACCCCGAGGCGTGAGGAACGCGTAGGAGTTCCCGGGTCCGCGCAGCACAAATACACTCATCAACAAAGGAAAGCCCATTAAACCCTCCCTCCTGCGAGCTCGCCCCCGCGGGTACCTCTTTGAACTGACCCCCGCCCCGCAGCCCCAGAGCCGTTTGGGGCGCGCTGGCCCTCCCGGGCTCTCTTCTTCCCTCCCGGCGGCGCACTTTTGCAGCGCGCCTGGCCTTTGAAGTCTCTTTACATTACGGTACAGCAGCCACGCGCTCCTGCCCCACGCGGGGGCTTTGTGTAACGGAACTGACATTTGGCCTTGATACCTGTATCTCTTGGTGATTGCAACAAATTTCTAAAATAAATATTGTGCTTTGATCTCCCTGCACTGCATTTTTAATGGACGCTCCAAACATTCCTTCATTAGGAAGATTTTTTTTTCTTACTTTCCTTCTGGAGCTCCAATGCGAAGGGAGGGGAATTAAAGTTCTTCGAAGTCTCTCCCCAAACTCTCCCTTGGCTCTGGGAGGGCTGGAACTTTTTCAACAAATTCGGGAGTGAGGCGACTATGGTGCTCCAGAGCGTACTGTGCGCCTGGCACAGTTCTACAGACTTTGTATTTACTCTTTTGAGCCCACAAGCACTGTACAGAGACAGCACATTTTACAGATGGGCAAGCAGAGGCGTACTTACCAGGATTCTCAGCGACAAGGCGGGAAAAGCCTGGCTTCAAAGTTTGAGCGCTTAGCAGTCCTGCTTGGAGCCCCGTGGAAGGGTAGTAGCCTAAAAAAGCGGGAAAAGTTAACTTTTGCAACTTCGGAGGTGTAAGTTGCCTTTTTAGTAAAATAGCTAACACATTTGGTCATAGAAGATGCTTCCAGCTCGCTTTTCCGCCTTCCGGAAAAGACGGTTTGGAAAGGCTCAGAAAGAGAGAGGAAGGAGACAGCCTTCCAGTTTTCCCTGGCCGAGCTCCCTGACTTCAGCTGCACGCGAGAAATGTCTCCTTCTGGTCCCAGGTTCCTCCGGGGCTGGGTGCTTGCAATTGGACGTGAGAAGGAGCAGATCGGCCAGGCCCCAGGGCAAACCACTGAGTCATCTCCCCTTCCGGCTTGCACAGCACCCCAAACTCGTGTTCAGGAGGAGTGAGGCTGCGTGGATTGAGCTGTGAGGTGGCTGTTCTCTGGTCCACGAGTGACACTTCGTTGGGGAGAAGGAGGGGATGCTAGTATGGAGCGTGTGAGGCCTGTTAGCTATTTCCATTTCGAAGGTGCGCCCGGCGTGTGGGAGAATATGGGCCTTCTTCATGGCGTACTGTCGGGACTCTTGATGGACACCGACATGCAGTGCAGTCTAAAGCGGGAGAAGTTCCGCTAACCTCTGGCGCTAATTTGGGAGTTAGGCAACCAGGTCCTGGAACATCAGTCCCGATCGCATGGTGGTCCCTGGAAAGCACATAAACACTGCAAGTTGAGCTGGTTCGCAGCTTCCGGAGAGACTGGCGGCCTTGGAGATTGAAGATCCGGGAGGCAGAGAGGCCGGAGAAGAATCAGGCTAAGTCAACCTCACTTCTCTGTGCAGTCACCTAAACTGCCATTGCCCGGTCTCTGGCGAGACCACTGGCCGCCAAAGCAGTGAAGGCCTCATGTCGCCCCGCCAGTCTCTAGTGTATCCCTTTCGGATCCAGGAACTAGTAGGGGAGGGTCCTGGACCGAAGGCAGGCAGGAGGCCGACTGACCGCGGGGACCAGTCATCTTCTTCAAGGAAGTTTTGAAGGGGACGCACTCTGGAGAGAGGACTTCGGTGCACTTGAGACAAGGCACTCCTGAGGATGAACTTCTTTCCAACAACGGCAGGAACAAGACTTTGACTTTTCTTCCCTCTCCAGGGTCCTCCTCCCAGTGATCTATGGGTTCTTAAACTATGGGGATGGGGTGAGGTGGGGTGGGAAAGGGGACTACGGAGAAGCCCCCCAAGCCTTGCTGTCCAGTTTGTGGCATCGCGCGCGCCTTTGATGGTACCAAAAGAGGTTGCTAGCATCTCTAGCGATTCTCGATAGAAACTAACAAGTGGGAGGCTTGCCCGGTCCTGCTCAACACGCAGAACTGCTTGTCTGGAAAGTACGGTCCAACCCCACCCCCACCCATCCCGGGCTCCCACCGCCCCAGTGTGTGTTCCGGGTTGTTCTTGTGTCCTGCCAAGCTGAGTTGTGGGAAGAAGCAGAGTAAGCGCGGTGCGGGTTTTTCCCTAGATTCACTCTGCAAAAGTTGCCGCCCCAGGAAAACTTCCAGGTCACCGGTGGGAGCCTCAAGAGGACTCAGCGGCTTGTCAAGCGGGAGGGCCTGGAGCGTGTGCGCCACCCACTGCCGCCCTGGGAGGCCGCCCAGCCCTGCCCAGGGTCACAGAGCTGCCTGCGCCTCCGCCGGCAGCCAGGGGGTGGGACACGCGGCTGACCGGGTTTGGTCAATCCCACGCCCCGCCCCAGGAGCTCGCCCTGGTCGGCGACGTGAGGGTGCGGAGTAAGTACCGGGAAGTTACCCTCATCCCAGTCTCAAAGTACCGCTCCTGAAAACTGAAGGCAGATTTCTTTTTCTAGAGATAACAAAGACACTTTGTCACTTTGCGCGCTGCCTTGGTGCAAATCTTTAATTGCAAGTGGGGGTGGGGGGATCGAGTGTCCCGAGCAACCCAAGCGCGAGTCTCCAGGCGGCAAGGCCCCCTTTGATCAGGAAAATCCAATTATTTGTGTATATACATTTCCCACATAGTGATTACTTCATTAATTGTCCCGCCTTTATCTCCTCCCTTCCCATCCCCCCTAATAATCAGTTCTTTTATCCAGACCAACAAACACACCATAGGAGCTTTGTGGATTCAAAGGATTTGCTTTCGCTTCTGAAAGAGCCGCTATTCTTTGATGATTGGGTAGCGGCAAACTTCAAAGCCATAAATCTTTCCTCTGACTGGCTGGCGGCCCAGCAAAGCCCTTATCAAATTCTTGGAGGTGATCCTGAAGCGCTCAGACCGCGCGCGGGGCGAGCAAGCCGGGCGCGGGCGGGGAGCACTCGGAGGCACGCTGGGCGGCCGTTCGTCCTCGCCTTCGGGTGTCCATGCCTCGGCGGCCGCGTCCCGCTCCACTACGAGCGGCCTTCAAGCAGTAGCCATGGCCGCTGTGGCCGTCCTCCGGAACGACTCTCTGCAGGCCTTCCTCCAGGTCAGTGCTGTCCGGGAAGGCGGGAGCAGGTGGGAATCGGTAGTCGGGATCTGTGTGGGTACTTTGAGCACCTTAAATCTCAAAAGGACCTCCCACTTAAGGGTGCGCCTGGACTCAAACCTAGGCACACCAGTGCCAACTTGACAACTAACCTGGTGTGTGCGTGTGTGGCCTATAGGGAGGGATGCATGGATTTTGGGGGGTATGTAGATGTCAGAGTGGCAGAAAACTGGGTCCGAGTTCACCTTGCTGGGCTCTTCCTCTGACTTCAGCCTGGATAGGCCAAAGAGGAACACGAGGGGTGCAAGGAAATAGCTTATGATCCCACCACCCGGCTGTGGGTGTTTCCAGGCTCTTCCAGACCGGCCCGGTCCCTCTGCCTCTTCCTTTGCGCCAATCTTAAAGGCTGATTGGCGTCTCTTCGAGCCAAGTAGTTTAGCAGAAAGCGATCGCGCACCGGGGGTTCAGGTAGCACGGGCGCTGAAAGTTTCCCGGGACCGCTGGGTGCGCGCTTGAGGCACGGTGAGGTCTGGGGGAGGGACGGCCCGGCGGAGGAGGGGCAGGGGTATAATAGTGGGGGTGGCGGGCCTGCCCAGAGTCGACGCTTGGAACGCTAACCTTTTGTCTCTTCCGCCCTCCCTCGCCGCCGCCGCCCATGCAGGACCGCACCCCCAGCGCCTCCCCGGATCTAGGCAAGCACTCGCCCCTGGCTCTGCTGGCCGCCACCTGTAGCCGGATCGGCCAGCCCGGCGTGACTGCAGCACCCGACTTCCTGCAGGTGCCCTACGACCCAGCGCTGGGCTCACCTTCCAGGCTTTTCCACCCGTGGACCGCCGACATGCCTGCGCACTCGCCAGGCACCCTGCCTCCCCCGCATCCTAGCCTGGGGCTGACGCCACAGAAAACACACCTGCAGCCGTCCTTCGGGGCAGCGCACGAGCTCCCGCTCACGCCTCCTGCGGATCCCTCGTACCCTTACGAGTTCTCGCCGGTCAAGATGCTGCCCTCGAGCATGGCGGCTCTGCCTGCCAGCTGCGCGCCCGCCTACGTGCCCTATGCCGCGCAGGCCGCGCTGCCCCCGGGCTACTCCAACCTGCTGCCCCCGCCACCACCTCCGCCTCCACCACCCACCTGCCGCCAGCTGTCCCCGGCACCAGCCCCGGACGACCTCCCCTGGTGGAGCATCCCGCAATCGGGCACTGGGCCGGGAGGCTCCGGGGTTCCTGGGACCAGCCTCTCCAGCGCCTGTGCCGGGGCTCCCCACGCCCCCCGCTTCCCTGCCTCAGCTGCCGCTGCTGCAGCGGCTGCTGCTGCCCTGCAACGGGGCCTAGTGTTGGGCCCGTCGGACTTTGCGCAGTACCAGAGCCAGATCGCGGCGCTACTGCAGACCAAGACCCCCCTGGCGGCCACGGCCAGGAGGTGCCGCCGCTGCCGCTGCCCCAACTGCCAGGCGGCTGGCGGCGCCCCCGAGGCGGAGCCGGGCAAAAAGAAGCAACACGTGTGCCACGTGCCAGGATGCGGCAAGGTGTACGGCAAGACGTCGCACCTGAAGGCGCACCTGCGCTGGCACACGGGCGAGCGGCCCTTCGTGTGCAACTGGCTCTTCTGCGGCAAGAGCTTCACGCGCTCGGACGAGCTGCAGCGGCACCTGCGGACTCACACGGGCGAGAAGCGCTTCGCCTGTCCCGAGTGTGGCAAACGCTTCATGCGCAGCGACCATCTCGCTAAGCACGTGAAGACGCACCAGAATAAGAAGCTCAAAGTCCCGGAGGCCGGGGTGAAGCGGGAGAACCCGCGGGACCTATGAGCGCACCGGGCACTTTTGAGGTCTCTCCAGCCCGCCCAGAACATCCTTCCCAGAACCTTGGCTGACAGGCCCGAAACAGACCATCGAGGCAGCTGACCGAGAGGAACTTTTTATTGTCCTCCTCCCGAAAGGAAGCCTTGCTGACCGGCCCTAGAGCAGAGGGCAGGGCAGGTAGGGCTGGGAACTGGGACATGGTTAAGAACCCTAAGTTACCCCAAGACGGTTCCAAAGTCCGAGCCATCTCCTGCCTGGAAGACCTACCGTCGGGGATTCTGCCCCAGGCTGGCCTTGCTTGTAGGAGTCGCTGCTGAAGGAAAATAGAAGGGGCCTTGGGAGACTCAACACAGGGCTTGAGTTTTCGATAGGCCCGATTCGGGCTTTGTACAGGTTATTTAATAATAGCTTTGTTAAAGAGTAATTATAATTATAACACTAATAAATGTTTCTGTTGTTCTCAGCTCCATGCAGAGTTACAGCATGGTGTGTTTCTGTAAAGCGATCAGCAGTTGCAGCGTGAAAATAAATATGTTCATTCCAGGGTCTCCTCAGGAAGACCCCCGTAGAGCTGGTCTCCTCTGATCTTTTCTTCCTGGAGTCCTCGCTGAGAGGTCAGGTTTCACCCAGGGTCTGTTGGTCCCTGTGTGCAGCTTGTGTATGGCGTCTTTGGTTTCCAAAGCTTTGGGAAAGTGTATACTGGATGCTTGGGCAGGCACAGGGCAGCCGATTTTCAGGTAAAGAGCCAGTTTAGGTTTCTGTGCAACTCTAAGACTTGATGTGGAATTAGCTTTGAAAGTTTGATACCTACAGCACATAGCATGAGGCGAATCCCCTGCTGTTTTACAGTTGATGGTACTTTTGGAACCCTTGGAAGGAGCTATGCATTCTCGGGGCCTTCTCCCGGGTGAGGTTTTTAGAGGTAAATGAAGAAATTGACAGCTCTTATGTGGACTGGGCACTGTCCTGCTAACACCAAAAAAGGTAACTGTCACTGTTGCTGTATGCCAGCCTGGCTATATACAACTTGTTTGGTACTTCACACACAACAGCTAGATGGATATCTAGGTAGGCCAGGAAGTTTAATTCTTCCTGTAGCTTGGACTTCCTTTCTAATCACCTGACCAGACAGATTTTCTCAGGGAAGAGTCAGAAATGCTCCATCAAAGCCTAGAAATGTAGGAACAAGGCTTTTTTAAGATTTAGGTTTCTCACCTTTCTCTAATTTTTAAAAGTTTGAAGTCTTTTGTCTTAACTCATTTGTATTGTAACATTTGGGGTTTCAGCCCCAAAACTTAACAATCAGTTAAACTCTTCATTTAGAATCAGCACAACACAATTTAAATTTCATTACTGTTATAAGCCAGTGTAAAATAATGATCTTTTCATGATAGAATAGTGTGTATGTATTTATAATAATTCACAACCTACAAGCTTGCCATGAATTTTTGCTTGAAGTAAACTAAAGTGCAAATTTCAAAAACTACTATGGGTTGTTCTTGAAAGCTATGTAAATGAAACACAAACATCAGCATAACTGAGATGAGAATAACATAATCGTATGAAACTGTTTTATTGTCAAATGTGAGACAAGACAGTAAATGCATGTTAGACTCCTTGGCAAAGCATGTCTCAGAGCGCTTGCCCTCTGTAGAAACTTTGAACTATTTAACAAACTTGAATGCCAGCCATCCTGGCCCTCCACGAGCATGAACTAAGTGTCTAAGGGTGTGGCCGGTTTGCAAGCAATAGTAATACAGTTGCTAGACAGTGTAGTTAGTGCACTCTTAGCCTAAATCCATTGTAATTAGTCAGGAATATCTTGATTTAGACTTTGTACATGTTATGTGGGTAAGTAGAAAAGCTGTGTGAAGTGTTCAGTGACTCCATCTTGAGCCATGGCCTGGGATGTACTTCAGACTCAAGAAAGGTTCCTTGGCAGGTGATGGGGACTTTGGACTCAGGAAATTTGAAGTGGTTATGTCATGTGTGTTTAAGAAGAGTAGCTTTGATTTAAGAAAAAAAAAGAAGAAAGTGGCAATGTTGAAACACACCTGTGATTACTGACAAGTAGATCCTTTAGCATTCAAAAAGATGAGAGGAAAACAACCTTTTTCATGGGGAGAAAAAGCAGACAAAATGTATTGAAAATTAAACATGAGGGATAGGGAAGGTTGTATTCTTAGAACTTTGTAATTCAGGGGAAAAGTAGACCAAATATGTGGAATTTGCCTAAGTAAGGTATATGTAACTTGAAAAACCAAATTAAGCCTTATGATGATGACAAAGCTAACTTTCGTAGGATTTTGTTTAATTGAGCCTGCCAAATTCAAAAGCAGCCTTTAGCTTAATTTGATACAGGATAATTGTTGATCATTCTTTGTATCACTGCAGCTCTGTCAACTACTTTAGAAAAGGAATTTGAGTGCCATTATTGGAGAAGGAGTAGGGAAGCCACAGTGATGATAATATCCAAGTACAGGAAGGCATTCCATGGTACACTGAAGAAATAAGTTAATAAGTATAAAAATGCATGCAAGCTTACAAGCTGTGGGAATTTGAATTATTGCATGCTTTTTTTTATAAGCCTGCAACCAGAGTACCATTTTAAGAGCATTAAAACTTATTTTGGAACACCAATATGCAAAACCAGTATATATGACTTAGGCACAAATTAAGAATATTACTTATAGCAGATAACTTAATGGAATTAAAATTAAAAATTTAGAAGCAAATTATATAATTATATATTATTTTGAACTGGAGGTTGCCAACCCCCAAAAGCGAGTTTAATCTGCCAACTTTTACCAAGGTTTTTATTTAATACGTCAGTACGCAATTATTTAAAAACTAAAATGGATATGTTAATTATTGCGTCAAATCACACTAGAGTAGAATTTTTTAAGAAGCTGGTTTGGGCAGAATGGAAATAGAGTATATATTAAATTCCAAATTGGTGATATTTTAAAGTGTACACTCATTGAATAAATGAATCATTTCAATCAAGAACTTTGAAACAGAGAAATTGAATAACATATAAATTAGCTGATTTAGAATTTTGTGTTTCTGAATTTAACAATATGTTTTCCTGCTTTTCTCAAGAGAAGATTGGGAAGACAATTTCCATAGCTGATCCCTTGTTCTTAATGGGTCTGGTAAATGTGCCAAAGAAAACACAAGTGTTATTAACCTCAATTTCAATTGTTTCTGGATTTACTAGAATTCAACTCTTAGGACCATACTGTGTATGTGTGTGTGTGTAAGTAATCTTGCTGACGGTGCTTCCAGTAAAAACTTGTTTTGATGACATCATAAAAAGACAGGTTTTTACCCAAATGTGAGCTATGCTCTATTCCAATACTGTAGGCTTTGAAGCAATCCATTTAAAGTGGTGTCTTTCAGCATTGTTATTTGGGTCTGCTGGGAGAAGTGAGAGAAGCTGTTTCTGAAGTGCCTCCACATTCCTACTCTTTTTAAGTGTGGCCAGCATTTGTTTATGTGGGACTGTAGAATTGCAGAGCATTTTTACTTACTTTAGCTTATTGCATTACACAATGGAGTCGATTATCAGGGTTTTTTGTTGTTGTTATGGAATGAGCTATGTTGAAGAATTCATATTTAAATTTTGATGTCTGGTAAACAACTACAGTTCACTAGTGTTCCCAATTAACTACCACTACTTTCCTCTTGTTTGCATGATAGAAGGAGGACTTTTTAAAAAATATGAGACCTGGGGCACCTATAAAATGCTGGTGCCACACACCTTGAACCCAGTAAGAAGGAGGATGAAGCAGAAGGATTGCCTAGAATACAAGGCCAGTACTGTTACATAGTGAGTTTGGGGCCAGCCTGAACTACCAAGCAAAAACATACCGTGTTGCAACACCCCCTCCAAAACCAGAGAAATGTGTGCTAACCCAGTTTGATAAAGTAGGGAAAAAGAAGGCAAATATCTAGATAGACACATGTTTACCACGAGATATATTTAGGTTAACATGCCAAAATCACATGTATTCTAGTCATAATCTGACCGGTGTAACATTCTATATAGGTAATTTAAATTTTTATCTGGTATTAGTAAGATTCCACATTCTTGCATAAGTATCTTTATGTCAATTGTTTTTAAACCATGTGATGATACCAGGTACAGCAGTAGTTCAACTGAATTTATGGACACAATGCAGTAATCTTCATAATGTCCCTGACTGCTATGAGTAAGTGGTATTAGTTTAACAAAGATGTAACCCAATAGTTTCGAACCGTTACTACTGTCTTGACCATTTTACTAGTTGTTTTACTGTTACAGTTTCTTATGGAAGATGGACGTGCATAATTTCAACTAACATTTTAATTCTCTTTTGGGACTATACACTTTTCTTCCTTGTCCTTAGCAATTCTCTAAAACAAATCTCAATGGGAAGGTTGCTATCTAATTCATACTTTGGTCCAAAAACATGGACATCAGTAGTTTTTATATGACATGTAATAACTAAAGTGTGGCTGGGTTAGTTTTTATGTGATTCAAAAGTCAAAACAGGGAAATCATATCTAGTTCTTAGCTGCCACAACATGAAAAATCTACAGCTTTCACCTTCCAGAAAGTTGATTCAGCCCTATGAAGATGGAGACTGTAAATTAAGAAATGTAAGTTTGATCAATAATAAAAATATTTACTAGTCACACTTCTGACATAAAAAATTCACTAAAATTGTATAACATCCGATGAGGTGTGTCCATGCCTTCTGAGTTCTTTAAATATAAAGTTAAACCATTCTGGCATGCAGGTACTAGACAGTAATATATAAAACTCAGTGGAAAACATCTAGCCTTCAGCTCCATTTCATCCAATTCCCAAGACAAGCATTAGGCCCACCTTGTTTATGTTTAAGATTGGATAATGTATCCTCATTTTGAACATATTTGGAGACAGCATCTAAAAATCTACAGAAGGCTTATTCGTGTGACTGTTATTCTTATGTTCTATGTAATACTTTTAAAAGTCTGTGTCTTGAAGAAGGCAAAATGTCTATACAACCATGTCCATCTCTGTGATGAAAGCTTTATGTAATGTGCCTCTTCCTTAAAAGTACACACCAGGTGGTAGGGGTGCACGCCTTTAGTCCCACTACTCAAAGGCAGAGGCAGATGAATCACTGAGTTAGAGGTCAGCCTGGTCTACAGAGTGAATTTCAGGACAGCCAGACTTTCACTGGGAAACCCTGTCTCAAAAAAAATGCACCCACTATTTGATTAGCTCCATGTAGTACAGTCCCCCAACTGGCTTCTAAACTATAGTTATTTTAAATTGTATTTTGCTTGTGTCTTCAGTACTGGAAATTGAACTCAGTACCCATTCAGCTAAGGAAAAGTGCTATACCACTCATCTGCATTCCCCAACCCTGGGCTTGAACCTTCAACCCTCTGACAGAGTTGGTAGTTTTCCAGTCATGTGCCACCATGCCTAGCTAAGTCTGTTCATTTTATTCTTAATAGATACTTTGTATCTCTTGGAATCAGTTTTACAGATCAGAGACAAATACATAGGTCTACTTCAAGTCATATTTTGTT